CCCAAAAGCTATAAAAGTCATATTTCTGGTAGTGACTATTTCAAAAATAGTCGGGAATTGAATATTTAAAAAAATAAAAAACAATAGCGCCCAACAATTTATTAAAATATTGGTGTAAAGTCCACTATTAAACTTTTTTTCTAAAAATAGTCGTGAGTGGTAATTTAAAAAAATTAAGAAAAATTTTGACCGACTATATAATAAAATAGTCGGGAATAGAAATCTCTCCCTTCTATTTCAAAAATCGTCGGGAGTGGTAATATATAAAAACAAAATTTTACCCGACTATTAGGCAAAAGCGTTGGTAAGAGTAACTTCACCCAGTGTCGATAATAAAAGCGTCAAAAATATATTCCTTTCCAGATTATTTTAGTCAATAGTCGGCAGAGTCTCGACTATTATTCTTTAATTGGGAAAAAGATGTTTGCCCAGCGTCGAGAATAAAAGCGTTGGAAAAAACTCATAATTCTTGTAGTGTCGGCGATCGATTATGTGAATTTTCGTCATCTAGGTAACAGATCTTGAACGACGGCGCGAGGAAGATAATGAACTTTTGGTTTTTTGAAAAGAACATTGAAAACAGATGAGGAAGAAAGAAGTTCTCAAAATGGCGTGGTTTGATTTAATTTATTTTAATTGTAATTACCTACAATGAAAAAATGATTACTATATTAATATTATACTTGAACATTTCATAAAATCAGCTTATTTTGTTGGTGTTTGGTGTACACATGTGTCCATAAGCCTTAGTGGTCTTCAGCGTTCAATTCACACACCTAACTAAATAGGTTATCATTATATATATATATATTTTACAAAAAGAAATATCTACTGAGTTTTTATTTCTCATTTTATTGACTTGTTTCTATTTTCTTTTAAATAGTTACTATTAATATTCTTGAAAATTTAGACAAGAATCTAATAAAAAAACAAATTCTCAAAACTAACATTTAATTTTGGAAATTTCTATCTAAACTTCAAAGTTTTATGTTATAAAAATTTAAAGTTTCATGAACCTAACTAGTTCCAATTTAAACTCAAATTAATTCCTAACCATTCGATTAAGTTGATTACCTTTCATTCCAATAAAAAAAATCAGGGTATAATTTAAATGTGAATATTTTATTTACGGAATGCTTGGTGAAACTAGAATTAACTTATATTATTTTTTTATAAAAATATATTAATAGAGGGTTGAAAAAATAATTTAAATTCATAGGGCTCAAACTCGGAACCGAAGAGAGGAAGGGCACAATTACGCTAAGCTTACCACTATAACAAATACCATCTTCTACTTGTTTCATGGAGTATTTGGGAAAACTATTAAGCATAAATCTATACTCGATGCGACCGGACAATCCTGAAATAATTAATATCGTTAACGAAGCTGCAGTTTTTCCGACAGAAATGAAATGTGCTCAAAATCATTTGTTTTTTATGTCATACATTATCAAGATGACCTAGGTAATTGTCATGGAATACTTGAAATTTTTTTATTTTTATTAACAATTATAAAATGTCATAAAAGCCTGAAAATTTTCGTAAATTGTCGTTTTTTCCCGCCAAAATCATGCCTCCACCATTCGTGACAGTTTTCCACTATCATTGAAATTTCGATTTTCGCGACAGTTTTTAACTGTCATAAAACTTACAAAATCCGAAAAATAGCGTTTTTTTCCCTCCAAAAACGTGCCCCCATCATTTATGACAGTTTTTTTTTCATCCAAACTTTTTTACTGTTCACAACTGTCATGGAAGACCAACTTTCTACTAGTGAATGGTTGAATCCAAGATCAGCTATGGGTGAGAATTCAAGAGGAATTTATGATGATGACATGCTAACTTTGATCAACACGAAAATCTCAAATCTGGCGGACATGATGATGAAGAATATGTCTAATGCTGGAGCATCTATTGCCAGAGCAGGAGTTAGCAGTGTCCAAGCAATTTCATGCTCCTACTGTTAAGGAGAGAACCACTTTGATCTCTGCCCATGGAATCCTACAAATCAAAATAATTCTCACTCCAACATGTACAACTCGTGGTGGGGGCAACTCCCAAATTTTGGATGGGGAGGAAACCAATGTGGACAGGGTCAGTCAGGACAATATAATGCTCCAACATTCCAACAAGAAAACTTTTCCCTAGGATTTTTTGGAGTTTGAGCAACATCATCCTGCCAAGCAAGCTGCAAGTTCATCAAATTCTTTGGAAAGCCTGATTAAAGCTTACATGGCCAAGAATGAGGATACCATTCAAAATCAAGCTGCATTAATTCAGAGCCAAGCAGCGTCATTAAGGAATTTGGAAGTTCATATGGGGCAAGTTGTAGAAGAACTAAGAAAGCGACCGCAT